CTCTCTCTCTCTCTCTCTCTCTCTCTCTCTCTCTCTCTCTCTCTCTCTCGGTGTGTGTGTGTGTGTGTGTGTGTGTGTGTGTGTTTGCGCGCGCATTTACAAATGCATGTGGAGGCCAGAGGACAACCTTGAGTGACAATTCATTAGGACTGCTGTCCACCGTTTTTATTTGTTTATTTATTTTGGATTTTCGAGACATGGTTTCTCTGTGTAGCCCTGACTTGTCTTGGCACTCACTCTGTAGACCAGGCTGACCTCAAACTCACAGAGATCCACCTGCCTCTGCCTCCAGAGTGCTGGGATTAAAGGTGTGCACCATCACAGCCCGGCTCATTTTTTTTATTTTTAATTACACTTATTTATTCAAAGAGGTTATGCCATGGTGTGCCTGTGGTCAAAGAACAATTTATGGGGGTTCTTTTCTGTTATGTGAATTCCAGGGATCAAACTTAGCTTGTCAGCTTTGGCAGGAAGTGCCTTTGGCTGATGAGCTATCTTGCCAGCCCCTATCCTACCCCCCCCCTTTTTTTTCAAAACAGGGTCATAACTATGTAGCTCACTGTAGACCAGTGCTTGAACTCAGGTATCTGCTGGGTCTGCCTCCTGAGTGCTGGAATTAAAGGTATGTGCCACTACTACCCAGCTTAATAATATATTTTATTCATTTTCAGCTTCTTTTTTTTTTTGAGGCAGGGTCTATTGGTGAGAACTGGGGCTTACCATTGAGGCTGGCTGGCCCTTGATTCCTAGGATCCTCCTGTCTCTGCCTCCCTAGCTTTGAGATTCCAAAAGGCCACCCACCATGAGCAGCTTTTGTTTAGTTTAGTTGTTTTTTTTTTTTTGTTTTTTTTTTTTTTTTGAGACAGGGTTTTTCTAGATAGTCCTAGAACTTGCTCTGTAGACCAGGCTGACCTGGAACTCACAGACATCCACCTGCCCCTGCCTTTCAAGTGCTGGGATTAAAGGTGTGCGCCAACATTGCTGGCATTATATAGTGAGTTTGAAGCCAGCCCTGCGCTGCATAAGACCCTGTGCACAGAATAAAATAAGGTTTATTTTTTAAAGAACTGATCTTTTCATCTTAGTTTTTTTACTTTGTTTTGTTTTGTTTGAAAAGCTCTCACTATGAAGCCCATTCTGGTCTCAAATTCACCGAGATCATCTTACTTCTGCCCTCCTGAGTGCTG